GGTCAGATTGGGTACGAATCAAAACGAAATACAAGACACATATGTAGCGATTATATATTTAGCAATTTGCATAATTGAGCCTAATGCTGCTCCTTGACAATGAACAATTCTCATTGCTACTAGACTAGTTTTCCATGGTAATGAAAACAATGCAACAACTCATAATGACAAGGGAGCTAAGTCGGTTGTCTGAGCTAAGTCGGTTGTCTGAGCTAAGTCGGTTGAGTAAAAAAATTTAAAAAATTGGCTCCCTTGACTCAAATTTATATTGAATCAAAAAAATTTTATTTTTTTACTCAAATCTTTAATGGTGTGATTTCACCATCTTTTAAAGATCTAATGGTTATCCTTACTCCCTTTTCAATTTGAGTTTGTCCTCATTTAAATTTAGGTTTATTCTTCTTTAAATTTGAGTTTGTCCTCATTTAAATTTAGGTTTATTCTTCTTTAAATTTGAGTTTGTCTATTAGAGTTTTTTATATTAAATCAATTTTTTACTTAAATGTTAATTTAAATTTAAGTAAAAATTTGAGTCATAGTAGATGTTCTAAGAAGTTAAATTCTCATCTTATAAAAGTACAACGACAGTTCAGATTAATTCATATATATTTTGATCTAGTGATACAAAATTCATTTCAAAAAAAAAAAAAAATCCACTCAAAAATATTTTTTTTTGTACGGCCCTCAATGTTAAACAATTCAATCAACACACTCTTTAACGTCAAACAACTTTATTAATCCACAGGTTTAATCGCAAATTGTATCCCAAAAAATTTTTTGAATCTTAATTTTCACCCTCAAAAATCAAAAATCTCAATTTACACCCTCAAAAAGATATAAATTTGTATCAATGTGCACTTAAAAGTAACAGCCGTCAGTTTGTCGTCTAAAACTAAATTGATAAATTATACTTAGACCCCTTCAAATTTATCACTTAATCACTAGACCCCTCATATTTAAAATATTACACTTATGCCCCAGGACGTTTGTGAGCGTGTAACATATAACCCCATATAGTCAATATATGTTAATGTAACTGTTAAAAAACATTATGTTATCCTAATAAACAAATATAAGTTTTATATTATCCTTTATTATGAGTCCGTTATACTCTAAAATTTAAAATTAAGCTTACTTTTTGAATGTCCAATACAATACAGATATTATATAATGTTCAAGTGTACTAGTATTATATAATATTTTTTATATCCAATGCAATACGTCACTTGAACAAATTATTTGAATTCCTAATTGGGATAACACTTTTAGCCATATTTGGATTCTCAAGGAATGTAGTGTAATATCTTAAATGTGAGGGAGTTCAGGTGATTAAGTGATAAATATGAAAGAGTCTAAGTATAATTGACCAATTTAGTTTTAGACAGCAAACTGGATGCCTGTTAGCTTTAAGTGCACATTAATACAAATATTTGATCTTTGAAGATATAAATTGAGATTCGATAGATCTTTCAGGATGTAATTTGCAACTAACCAGAATCCACACTTACATGTGTCTTCTTGTAACTTTTCTTTCTTTCAACCAATAGAATGCAATTTTTTATAAAAATTTTCTTAAAAAATTTTCATGCTAACTAAATGCATATATTAAATTATATATTTTTCCTCTTTCTTTCACTTCACTTCTTATCATTTTCACTTTCAATCATTTTTTTCTTCCTAACCAATCGGACCTACCTTTCCTTTTGAATTCAAATGAATTTGTAAATCCAAATATATCATTATCAATGCACATTAATGTATAGATTTATTTTTTCCCATTTGATTGAGAATTCCAACATTTAAAAAAAAAATATCCCAAAAGTATTTCCTGCGAAACAAAATATAAGACATCGGAACTAAGAATCAAAATAGAATATAAGACATCTACAAAAAAATTTGAAATTCTAATGAGTCCAAACTATTTTCACTAGCTAAAATGAATGAGTTTGGGAAACACTTAACCACCATGGGGTCGAGGTCAACGGTTTGCCTAATAATCGTCACCTCCATTGTTGGACCATAAAGATCGTGAGTTCAACCTCGTTGTCCACCTCCCAGATGCTGACCTAAAAGGAAACCTAAATAGGCTCTTATGTTTAAAAAAAATGCATAAGGCTGCTGAATTTTTAGTGGGAAGCCACATAGTTGGTTTGATGGTTTTTATAATGATAATTTTGTCAATTTCATAAATTATAGTATGCTTATGTGACAAAATCTATGTCTTTGTTGGCCAATGTATATATTGTACAAATAATTGACTGATAATGAAATTTAAGAAAAGGGGTCACTCAACAAGAGAATTGATTGAAACATCCATTTCCAGTACTCAATGACTTATTCTTACAACATAGAACAAGGCACAGACATAAGAACTTCATCCCAGACGCGGACTTTGAGCGATCACAAGTGCTCATCTATCCAATAATTCGAGTCCGAGAATTTGCCTAAAATAGGGTGAGGGTGAGGGTGAGGGTGTTACCACTTATTGCCCCTTGACCCTGCTATAGATGGGAGATTTATGCACATAATAAAACCTTTGACAACAAGAACTTCATGCACGCAACAAGATATAAAATAATACTAACATCATTTTCATTTGCAAGGCCTATAATACTAATCCAGAGTCTGAGAACTTTTGTTTGCTGATTTTATCAAAGCGCTCTACCATCTCACCAGTCAGATAATTCTTCCAGTCTCCGACCTCACCTCGCCTGAAGAACGCGCTATTAGCCTCACCAGATGCTAATTTTCCATTCATATTCACTTCCAGATTGCTCAAATTGTCAAAGGTGCACAATTTAAGGATTTCATTCACTACCCCTTCTGCCTCTTCTTCTGTTGAAAGTGGGCAGCCCAAGAACTGAGCTATTCTCTTCAAATGATAGGCAGGTTGTTCTTTCATCTCCTCATACTTCAAAAAAAATACCCTACGAGGATTTTTCAAGCTTTCTTTCCAATACCCCACTGCATGATCCCAAAAGGGTCCAGATAAACTCACCCCTGTACAAAACAAGTCAAACATCTCTTCTAGATGATTGTTTCCCTGGTTCAGGGGTCTTAATTTGTTTGTGAAGTGCCAAAAAGACACAAAAATGTCCCTTGGGTCCCTACACAGATAGACAAGCTTGCATGCTGAATCCTGCACTGATTTGGGCAGAGATACAAATGGTAAATGAGTGGAAAAGAGCCTTGGAGGGGCAAAGGAGGTCAAATCAGGGACATCTTTTTCAGCATAGAGATTGATTTCCAAGAATGGCACCAGATTATGAGGACTGTCATTCAGCAAAGGGTGTTGTTGGGTGTCGGGGTAACACGTCCTGTTCATCAAAGAGAACATTATTGCCTTCAACCAAGTTGTGCCCGACTTCGGAGTTGTTACAAGGAGGATATCAGTATCTTGAGCTTCAAAGTGTCGTTGACATGCAAGTACACCTTGCAACTGCCTAGATGTGTGCCAAAAACCTTGGTATTGATAGAGATGCCTATGAACCCACCCCCTTTCTCTAGGTAGCAAGGGCAGTAAGTCCCTGCATTCTTGGGTCAGATCATCTTCTTCCAAGTACTTGGGAGGAGGGAGAGGACGTTCAGATGTTGGCATGGTGGTTACAAGTTTAGAGTTCTACCTTGCCTCTCATGACAATAGCTGATATAGGGTATATAGTCTAACCTTCCCATCAACCCCAAGAAAAACTAAATTATAGGTAATATTAAAAATTAAATTAAATATATAAAAGAGGTCACAGAAATTCAACCTTTACCTCCATGCACAGGGCACATTAAACATATGTTAAGTGCTTACCTTAGCAAAACAATAAACAAAGTCGGTGCCAAGATTCTCTAATTGAAGCACTAATAATGTCAAATCTTTTTCAGGGACCATGAAGAGGACATGGTCCTGTAAAAGTAATTGCAAAAACACTTTACATTCTGTATGTACTGCAAAACAATGACACAAGACAAGTAAAGAAGGACCACCCTTCACTCTCTCTCTCCCAACAGGGATGAGTCCAGAGTGTGGTAAAGAGCTACTTGGCAGTTCCTATAATCGAACAGAGGCTTTATAATGGAGATGCTCCTTTCTTCGGATAGATAATTTGAGCTGTAAGTTGGCTGGACCATCCACAGACCTCCTTTTTCTTCCTGTAATTACAAAACCTCCCACTAAATTGCTGAATCTTCTATCTAAGAGTTTCTTTCTCTCTTTAGAACACACTATTAACCCAATAGAGGCTTTACAACATTATTTCTCAGTAAAGAGCTCCTTGGCAGTTCCTATAGACCAACTGCACAGTGGCTTTCCAATCATTTAGAACACTACTAACCAAATAGAGGTTCCTTAAGGAATTTACACATGTTGTCATATCATTTAGACTCTTAATTTGGTCACAAAATTTAGTCAGTGTAGTGAAGTATTACTGTAAAACCTTTTGGAAAAGTCAGCCAAGCAAAGATGCTGTCAAGCAATCAAAATAATGATGGAGGGCTTCACATTAAAAAGTTGTATTATCAAACAAAGCAATAATTGAGAAACTAATCTAATGGACAGATTGTGGCAAAGTAAGAACAGTCTTTGTAATAATTGCGTCCATAGACGCCTTAGTTGATCCATTTGAGTTATTTTGTTAGTGATTGTGCGCATTTTTTATAGCAACCACAGGTCCCAAAATATGTGGTTCAGACATTTCTTGGCCAGATAAATCAAAGAGGGCCCAGAGAGAGATCCTATTTTCCTGCTCTCGTTTCGGGTAGGATTATCAGATTATGTTTTCCTCTCAATTCCCAAATCTTTTGGCGCACCAGAAAGTGAAACAAAACCAACTTGGAGAAGAGCTCCAACACTCATGGTCCATGTCACAAACTGAGCACATGAATTTAGAAGGGCTTCCAAACTCTTGAGCAATGGAAAACTAAGAAGGATTGAACTCAAACAGCAAGATGTATGCTTTCATTTAAGTCCAGGATCAAAGCTTACTCATTATCAAACAAGCATTGAAAACCTGCACAAGTTCTATAAATTCCTGTGTTTATAAGACAAGATGAGAAGTCAACAAACAAGTCAACATTTTGTCAACTTGAAATATCAAAAATTGAAATTCCCGCACAATAATCATGGGAACAAACTGATGCCCCAATCACTGTCCCAAATGAGAACCTTTGAGAGCTTTACCTCAAAAATAGCCGTATAGATTCATTCTCATGCCCAGATGCCACACTATTACAGCCCAACAGACTTTCCTGTTAAAATTTCATTACTTCCCTTATAAGTGACAAACCATTTGCTTCCAGATTGACAGTTCCCAAATAGCAGAAACATACACAAGTTTTCCTTTCAAGAACTATACATTGTATCTCGCCTGCTTGGTGGGTCATGAGGGCCTGACTTGCAAGAAGAGAAACAGAAGAACCTGAAGGGACTTTAGGAGAATCAAATGGTCAAAGGGATCAGAGTTTTCTGATTGACTAATCAAGCAAACTTCTTCCTGTAATTTGTCTCCAGATGTGAACTGCAGCAGAAAAGGTATATATAAGGACGACATCATTACAATACAGAAGACAATAAACTTCCAGGAAATGTAGAAGATACTTCATCATTCAAGGTCAGGCATCCCCAATAAGGAATAACTTGAATCAGCCGATCCAAGAAGTGGAATGTACTCTGATCCTCTCACATGAACACTACAGCAAGCTGCAGAATTATGCCAAAAAAGGAACCCATATTAAGCGAAATACAAAAGTATCGTCCAAGACATATTCATATTACAATCTCTCTGCACGCAAATCTAAAGTATAAAATCACCATATATTCCAAAGAATTATAATTGCAGGACCACTTCTGCATTCCTAATTCAAAAAAAAAAAAATCTTCAAAAAAGCATCTTGCCATAGTTTCCAAAAAATGGCTGAACCCCATTTACCTGAATCGGTTTGGAGAATTTTCAGCCATATAAAAACCCTTAAGAAGTTTCAACCTAACTATTTGGGACCAGCAAGGTATGACACTCAAACTTGAAAGTACAAATAATCAGAAACTAGAGTAGTTGTCCCAAACTGTTTCTCTATAATTTACAGTATTTTAGGTAGTTGCTTCTAGAATTAAGGGCATGGTTATGCGAAACACCAGGTCCAGTTTGCAACATGTGAACAGGAAAACTATTGACAGCATACCATTTTCTATCTTCATTACACTTTGGAGCATCGTGTCCATCTTTGCTTTCATGTCTGCACTGTCATCCATCTTTGGGGCAAGAAGGATAAGCTCTCTGTGGATATCACGCACAAACCTGCAGATCGTTTCAGCAAATTCAAGTTCACCATCTGATATTCGACCAATGGCCAACCTCATCAGCTCTCCTGTCAAGTCGGCAAGCTGAACAAGAACACTTGACATCAGTTCCATAATAGAGACAGATAAAAGAACCATTCATATGGCTGCTTGCATGTGTGTGCATGATATTTTCCAATGAATGGTCATTTTGTCTATTAGTATAAAAACTAGGTGAAGTAAAATGTTGTGTTAATTTGATTGTTGTTGTCCTACAGAGGAGTCTACCTTTAATGGAAAATCATACTGCTGAGACATTAATTTTATTAATTCATAAGGTTACCAACAGTTGCCTCCCATTTTTTGTAGAAAAAAATAGGTAAATACACATAAATAATTTGATCTCGTCCTTCATGTACCCAATCTTTGATTCTTAATAACATTATTTTTTGGCTGCAAAAAATACTTTAATATAAGACGGTTACCCCCAAGAGATAGTCGAGGACATTGATCTGCAGAGGCTCGACAGACTGATCGCTCAGCGATAACAAGGCAGCATTGATCTCATCAAGATTCAGAAGAGTCCCAGTTTTGCAGAAATTACAGAGTGTTGCGGCTTCAACATACTCTTGTACCTGTAAAGGTGCAAGCATGAGATGCGTCAAATTAAGCAGTGCTTTTCTAGCCTTGCCTGTAAGAAGGACAGAATATGCACAACCCCGGGAGAGTATGCTCGTCTTAGCTTCCAGAAATCAGTCCCTTGCAGTTCTTTTACTAGACGGGACATATACTGATCTGTCACAACCGCTAAATCCTTTTCTGCCTTTTCCAGAACTTCAACTCTGTTGCACTTGCTCATTCTGTTATTAGGAGGAGGGGCAGTGAGAAGAAAGCTTCAGAACATAGTAACTTAGGCTGAAATCCTCAAATTTGAAATAATTGAAAATAAAGAAAAAGGACAGATAGGTGAAAAGTGGTTTTGAATTAATCATTTCATATTTCCGAATACACACACTGCCCAGTTCAAAAGAAATACAATAGTGGACAATCTTGTAAGTGCTGAATTGAATATAAGGAACAGATGCCAGCAAAAATGGAAAAATAGAGACTAAATTTTCACTGACAACAAGAACTCTTGAAACACAAAACCACCAACAGGGCCAAATTAAAAACACACGGAAGCAAGAAAGAGTAAAGAGGAGAGTTTCCATGACAAAGATACGTGTAAATGTCACATGCATAGATGCAAATCCCCTTACCTGTGCACCTGAAATATGACCTTTTTGCTATTAATTGTGATGTCCCGACTTGCCTTCACCAACCTTTCACGCTTGTCATTCTAAAACATACATAGAGTAATAGATTAACCAATGGCAGAGAAATGTCTTATCTTCACAAGGAGAAAAAAAACAAGAAAACTGTGAAGCCGTGCAAAGCCATGTGTCAATCCAAGTACACCCATGAATTTTTCAATAGAAATTCAGCAAAACATCTCTGTTTTGCACAACAAACAAGCTCACAATTCGCAGATCTCATAATTCGTTGCTCTGTGTCACATGCAATATTATTACCTAAACATGCAGCTGCATTGTGAAGAACATTTAGTGCTAGTCACCAAAGCTTATAAAAAAGGCCCCCTTCCCTTGCCACATCAACAAAAAAGTATGATGCTCCAGCCCATGATTCACACATGGCTACAACAGAAGACCGTAAAAAAAGCATTAAGCTGCACATCTTTGATTGACCTTGTCATGGATTTACATGGCTTGGAATAGCAAGATGGTCAAGGGAGGTAACACATGGACCATGGTGCATCATGAATTCAATGCACATCGTTGGAATGTGAGATCCGAAAGTCCTTGCCATTTTGACCCATTAACCCTACGATAAACCATTGGCATTATTCAATAGTAACCTAAACCCCCTCGAAGTTCTAATGAATACGAGAGCCAATTTATTGAACATAACATAAAAGAATGATATGATCCCCTACTTGATCCATTGGCATTATTCAACAGTAACCTAAACCTAAAAGAATGATATGATTGCCCTGCTTGATCCATTGGCATTATTCAATAGTAACCTAAACCTACGAACCAAACAATAAAGGAAGTCCTATCCACATGATAAAGCGCTCTCTGTAAATACAACTTACTACTTTTGGGTCTAGCCTTTAAGTACTTCCTCAAGAAAAGAACTACCCGTTAAGAATATGGACCACAATTCCATCCCTCTCATAAACAAAAGCAGCATTGCCATTGCATACCATCTAAAAATTGGGGGGAACAATTCATAATGCACTGTTGCCTTCAAATTTAATTTTCCTTAAACTTACTAGAAGTTAACTAAGACACCTACATTATTCGACCATTAGAAGTTGACCTCGGAAATTAGAGAACCATTGTCAATCAGGTAATTCTATTGCTCAAATAAAAACACTTAAAACTAACAAATGCCTCAATTTCATTATGGCCAAGTGCCAATTAATTGCATTTATACTATTCTGACAAAGCACAAATGATCCAATAAAGGGAAAGTCGATTACAATATGGACATTTTGTTAGTTCAAGAATTTAGAGAGGGGAAGCAAACTGTAAAGAAAGATGATCTTCCTTCATACTCTAACCAAATCAAAACCAAACCTTATGTCCCAATCATTTGAGTTCGACTATATAAGTCCGTCTTCTCCATTCTTTTCGATCATGCACTATACACTCATTTAAGTTAAATATTTTAATATATTTTCTTATCATTTCGTTCAATGTTAATTTTGGTCTACCCCTACTTCTAGTATCATTAAGAGAAATTTTATCACTTTTTCGAACTGATGCTTCTATTGGCCTCCGTTGAACATAATCAAACTATCTTAATCTATTTTCTCTTAACTTATCCTCAATTGGAGCTACTACTACCATTTCTATAATACGATTATTTTGTATTCTATCTTTTCTAGTTTTTCCACACATCTACCTTAGTATTCTCATTTCTGCTACAATCATTTGTCACTATATTGTTTCTTAGTTGCCTAACATTCCGTCTCATACATCATTGTTGTCCTATAGCTGTTCGGTAAAAATTACATTTCAATTTTATTGGTATATTTCTATCACATAATGTCACAGGCTTTCCTCCACTTAAACCAATTAGCATTGATTTTATGAGTTACGTCATCTCCAATCTCTCTATCATTTATAATGATCGATCCTAGATATCTAAATCATCTACTCGTTGGTATTTCTTGATTTTTAATATTCACTTTTTCACTATATCTATTTCCTCTATTACTAAAATTGAATTGTATATATTCAGTTTTACTCCTACTTATTTTAAATTCTTTCAACTCGAGTGTCTCTCTCTAAATTTTTAGTTGGGTTAATCTCATTTTGCACCCCAAAAGATTGTTCGAATCTCAATTTACACTCTCAAAGATCAAAAATCTCAATTTACACCCTCAAAGATAGAAATTTGTATCAATGTGCACCCCCAAAGATCAAAAATCTCAATTTGCACCCTCAAAGATAGAAATTTATATCAATGTGTACCCCAAAGATAAAAAATCTCAATTTGCACCCTCAAAGATAGAAATTTGTATCAATGTGCACCTAAAATTAAATTGATAAATTATATCTAAATTCCCTCATATTTGTCAGTTAATCATTTAGACCTCTTCACATTTAGAATATTACTCCTACATCTTATAACATTTGTGCACGTATAACACGTAACCCATTTTCATTGATATCTATTAATATAACCGTTAAAAAATATAATTTTATCCTAATAAAAAATTATAATTTCATATTACCCTTTATTTTATAGGTTCAATATATTATAAAGTTCAAAATCTAATTTACCATTTGAATGTCTAATAAAATATAAATATTTATATAATATTTTTCATATTACCTTTTATATAAATATCTACATTTTATTAGACATTCAAATGGTAAGCTTGATTTTCAACTTTAGAGTATATCGAATCCACAAAATAAAAGGTAATATAAAATTATAATTTTATATTAGGATAAAATCATATTTTTTAACGATTATATTAATATATATCAACGAAAAGTGGTTATGTGTTACACATGCATAAACGTCATGAGATGTAAGGGGAATATTCTACATGTGAAGGAGTTCAAATGATTAAGTGACAAACATGAGGGGATCAAGGTATAATTTATTAATTTAATTTTAGGTGCACATTGATACAAATTTCTATCTTTGAAGGTGCAAATTGAGATTTTTTATCTTTGGGGATGCACATTGATACAAATTTCTATCTTTGAGGGTGCAAATTGAGATTTTTTATCTTTGGGGGTGCACATTGATACAAATTTCTATCTTTGAGGGTGTAAATTGAGATTTTTGATCTTTGAGGGTGCAAATTGAGATTCGAACAATCTTTCAGGGTGCAAAATGAGATTAACCCTTTTTAGTTTATTGTTAATCCCCCTTCGAGTTTCATCTACTAATACAATATCATTTGCAAATAGCATATACCGTGGGACATCATCTTGAATATGCCTAATGAGTTCATCCATAATTAGGGCGAATAGGTATGAACTTAGGGCCGATCCTTGGTATAATCCCACCGTGATTGAAAATTCTTTACTTTCTCCTACAGAAGGCTAAATTGTAATCATAACCCCGTCATATATGTCATTTATCACCTCAATATACCTATTTTTCAGTCATTTTCTCTCAAATACCCTCCATATTATATTTTTAGGCACCTTATCATACGCCTTTTATAGATCTATAAATACCATATAAAGATTTTTCTTCTTCTCTCTATACTTTTCTATGAGTGGCCTCAATAAATATATAGTCTCCATAGTTGATCTACTCAGCATAAACTCAAACTGATTTTCCAATATTGTAGTCTCAATGAACCTTTTCCATAGTTTCATTGTATGACCCATCAATTTTATTCCTCTATAATTATTACAATTTTGAATATCTCCTTTATTTTTATAAATAGGTACTAAAATACTCTTTCTCCATTCATCGGGTATTTCTTAACAGCAATAATTCTACTAAATAATTTCGTTAGTCACAACACCTCCTTATTCCCTAAGCACTTTCAAACCTCAATTGGAATCTCATCCGATCCTAGAGCCTTGCCTAATTTCATTTTCTTCAATGTAAACTCTAACTCCAAATTCTTTATCCTACGAAAGAATGTTTCATGGATCCTACCATTTTCTATCTCTTCTAAGTTTCTTAAGTGATTTTCATTTAATGTTTTCTCAAAATAGTCCTTCCACCAATCATTTATTTCCTCATCTTTAACTAAAACCTTTAAATTCTCGCCCTTGATGCACTTAATTTGATTAAAGTCTCTTGTTTTTTTTTCTCTAATTTTAGCTAATTTTTTGTACAACTCGTCGTATATATGTATTTCTTTTAGCGTCTCTAACAAAATTTTTAACTCCCTTGTTAGCTAATTTATATCTTTAAAAGTTCCTACTATTTATATCATTTTGTCTTCTCTTAAAGGATTCTTTTTTTACTTTAACTACATCTTGTACGTCGTCATTTCACCACCAAGTTTCTTTTTCTATAAGCCTTCTACCCTTTGACTTACCAAAAACCTTTTTTGAAACTTTCCTAATGTCTTCCGTCATCTTACTCCACATAACGTTTGTCTTATCTTTTAGATTAAATAAGACCTCCTCAAGCATTCTACTCCTAAATAGTACTAGTTTCTCATCTTTTAGATTCCACCATCTCGTTCTTGTTTTTCTAGTACTTCTCCTTACTCTATGCTACCCTTTAATATATAAATCTAGGATTGTTAGCCTATATTGAGATGTTAAGCACTCCCCTAGGATAACCTTACAATTTTTACATGCTAATCGGTCCGTTCTTAAGAAGTAGTCAACTTGACTTTTGTTTGGTTCACTCTTAAAGGTTATTAGATGTTCTTTTCATTTTCTAAATAAGGTGTTTACCATTGCAAAGTCAGATGTCATTGCAAACTCTAAAATACTCTCTCCGATTTCATTTCGATCACCATATCCATAACCACCATGCACTCTCTCATATTGTGTCTTATATTTTCCTACATGTCCATTAAAATCTCCACCTATGATTATCTTCTCTCCTATAAGTATATGTTGAACTAATTCATCCATTTGCTTCTAAAATTGCTTTTTAATATGTTCTTCTAACCCTATTTGGAGTGCATAAGCGCTAATCACATTAATTATATTCTCTCTGACTACAAGTTTGATAGATATAATCATATCTCATTTCCTTATAATTGCTACTATTCTATCTTTTAGACCTTTATCTAAAACTATTCTAACTCTATTTCTTCATCTACCCTTACTTGCATAGTAAATTTTAAATCTTATATTTTCTATCTCCTTTGTTTTCTCACCTACCCACTTAGTTTCTTGCATAGTTATCAAATCGTGTATCGGAAAGCATATCATTTTTTAAAAATAGTGTATCGTAAGATACGTGTAATTTTAATTTTTAAATAATTATTAATAAAATATATGTATATACTTTTATAAAAAATAGACTCATAATAACATAACTTTTTATTAATATTTCACCATTCATTCAAATTCTCAACATAATTTAGTAATATCAAAATGCAAAGACCTCTAATTCAAACTTCTAGTATCAACTGCTTGAACAATCTTAATATTAATCAGAAATTTTGAATTCAATCGAACAACATTAACAGTAAACTTTATTTAATTTTTTTAAACCATAACCACTAAAACGACGTTTCACTAGTTAGTGATTTAAAAATAAGTCTCAGAATAAAACGATGTCATTTCAACCCCAAAAAACCTAAAAAAAAAAAAAAAAAAATTGTCATGTATCGTATGTATTAGGTGTATCGT